ACTAGATTCTCCCTGAATTCAAAGAACAGGGCGGTCCTCTGTTAGAAAGTTGTGATCCGGCGGGGCTGTTCCAGTGTAAAATTCCAAAGGGAGCAGTCGTAGGTGACCTGACTGCAAGTTCCCAGGTGCAGCGGGGGCTGCCCTGGGGGGAAGAGCATGGCCGAATCAAGGAGGGGGAGCCGGAGAGGGGGATGTTAGGTGCAGGTGGGCCTTCCACAGGGGCACTGAAACCATGTAGGATGAGAGCAGGTCCTGGGGTGACGAGAGACTGCGGTGCTGTGCTTATGTCCAAAACAAAGGAAGAGGAGTGACCCACAGCTGGGAAGACTGCAGGAACAAGGAGGGGTGGCAGGTGAGCAAGGATGTCGTGAGTTTGGCAGGAGCAGGGGGTTACAGAGAGCAGCCAGTGCAGGTTCGGGAGGGCTCTGGGGCCTAGGGAGGTAGCAGGCCTAGCCCGACCCCACGCATGTGGGACGTGGCAGCATGCGCCTCCTCACCTCAGTGAGTGTGCTGCCAGGAAGCAGGAGGGCAGGCTGGCTTCTGTAGAGGCAGGGGTTGAGTGGAGGGGTTTCTGTAAGGAGCTGGGATGTAGGAGTCGGCTTATTTCAGAGTGAGCATTCTGGAGGGCACCCTGGGGGAGACTAGGAGGAGGGGAGCAGGGGCTTCAGTCGGGTGAAAAGTCCGCAGAGCAAGGTGGCAGAATGGCTGGTAGCTTAGGCGCTGGCCAGGGAGAGCAGGATGGACTCGTGGTGGGCCCAGCCCAGAGACGGCTGTAGGAGAATGCGTCTTTTCCACCCAGTGGGTGAGCTTGGGGTGGGGGTCGGCCTTGGCCGGGGTGGACTGCGCTGTGGGCGTCTGCTGGGAGCTGGCGCTGAGAGTCAGAGCCCTGGTGCTGAGCAGAGCCCAGGCTGCCGGGGCTCTGGGCAGAGGTTGGACCAGGGGCAACACGAACAGCAGTGAGGTCTCCGTGCTCGCTTCTCTCCCGGGAGCGCCAGAGCGAGCAAGCCCACAGCAGCTCTGCGGGCTGAGACCCACCCGCTTTCCATGACGGCGGGGTTCGTTGCCCAGTGCCGGGGGCCAGCCTCTTGCCTTCACACATCTCAACTGCTGTGACATTTGTCAAAAATCCAGTTGACACACAGAAGGCAGGCGTGTGTTCCTCCCAGAGGAGCCAGGAAAGGGGCTCCTGTGCCCACGGAAACCGGAGACGCACGCGGAGAAATAAACGCCGCAGCAGTTGTCTCTCGGGGTCGTGGCAGCAGATCATGGAAATGTGTTTTTTCATTTCCTCATGTTCCACCACCCATGTGCTTCGCAGCTGTGATTTATTTTCAGAGCACACTTTGGAATCTGACAGACCCTTGTGCTGGCCTGCTTCACAGCTGAAACCATTTGCCATGTGGCGGATGATGAAGCAAGCGACAATTTACACTAACACGGCTGTAAAAAGATGCCGTCTGTGAGGGAGACAGGCAGGTGTCAAACCTGGGGCACAGACGGCACCAGCCCTGCCAGAGCTCCCGGCGCACTGAGCCGGCCTCTCCGCGGAGCTGGGTTCTGGTCTGCACGTCCTGCTTAGGGATGCGCAGCGTGGCGAGCATGGCCTTGGGCGAAGGCTGCCCAGGCCGAGTGGCTGCAGCTGGCACAGAGAAGAGAGCTGACCAGGCGAGGTCCGAGGCCACAGGCGCCTAGTTCAGAGCGACAGGGCTGGCCCTGGAAGGCGCAGCACGATGGGGCCCTGTGTCCAGGCAGGCCACCGCCCTGTCTTGCACGCACTTTCACTCCCCGGTTTGGAGCAGGGGGATGCAGGCTTGGGGAGGGTGTCTTCTTCAAGACCTTTGTGATCCCAAATGGTAGAAACCTGTTTGAAACCCTGTGGACCACAGAGGGGTGAGTCTCTGGTCATTCTCTCACTCCTCCTTGGCTTTGTTCTTAAGGCTTGTCTCAGATCTGGTCTAGTGTAGTCTAGTGATCCCTCTCTCCCACTGGGATGTGATGGCCTTTGCCTGTTTAATTCTTTGTGCTTAGCTCAGTGCCTCGAGTATTGTATGCGCTGAGTAAATGTGTGTTAGCTGATGGCCAAGGGGACACCTTGGTGAAGTTGTGACAAAAGCAGGAGTCAGGCAAAGGGAGGGTTGCTCAGGGCAGAGTCAGCCGAGGGAAGGCCCAGAGATGAGCAGGGGAGAGCAGTGCAGTGGGAGTGGTGAGTCGGTCCTCTCGGCTGGCCAGGCCTGGCGCGTGGCGGGGAGGCGTGGGGTGAGCAGGCCGGACCTTGGAGGCGTTTTGTGCTGGGCCGTGCACTCGGATGTCACTAGCCACCAAGGGTGGAGAGTGTGAAAGGTTCTCGAGGAGGAGTGCTTCACGGGCCTCTGTGCCGAGTCTGCCGACGCTCACGCTCCTGCCCGCCTCCCGTGTGCGAGTCAGTCTCCCGGGTGCTATGTCACAGCAATCCTGAAGGCAAAGTCCTCTCTTCGTTCTTGAGAAGGAGATACCACGGACCAGCGAGGCCCTGTGCCTGGGCTCACATGGGCGACAGAGCCATGATCGTTTTTGTGTTCTAAGTAAGGAATCCCGATGGTGATAGTGTTGCAGAGGATGCATTGAAGGGGGCGGGACCGCAGAAGGGATGGTGCCCCGTTGCCGCCGTCCACGAGGAAGTGCCGTGAGGACGGATCTAGGGCGGCAGGGACGCGGCTGGAGGAAGTGCACAGGCCAAGGGATTGTGGGAGACAGAATTGCCAGGTATGGGTGGCTGATCAGACGCTGGAGTGAGTTTTTCCTATTCTTTATTTAACAAGCATTTATAGAGCACTTTTTGTGAGTCAATTACAGTGTTGGTTACTTTGTGTTAATAATGTTAATGCATCTCATGGTCACAAAAAGCCACTGGAGAGAAGTACTGTTATTATCTTCACAGATGAGGGAGCCGAAGCACAGAGGTGTTAGGTGACCTGCCCAGGGTTGCACAGGAGGTGCGGGAGGCTTTAGCTGGGCAGTGGAGCGTGGGTCTGAGGAGCGGTGGCACCAATGGCAAAGACAGAGAACTACGGAGAAAGGGCCGTTTTTGAGACAGGACAGATCCGTTTCTGGATCTGTGGAACGTGAGACGGCAGTGAGGTGCCGGGAAACAGGTGGGCGCACGGGAGCTCCCGTGAGAGGTGTGAGCATGTCGGGGAAGAGATGGTTCCTGACGCTTGTCGCAGGCGGTGATGCAGACTTTGCCACAGGGAGCCTGGGGGGGGCGTGCTCTGCGACAGGGCCCTGCAGAGGGCAGAGAGTGGACCCAGCTCGACTCCAGCAAGCGGAGGTGTGTAGCCGAGCGGCAGGGTGGGGCCGGCGGGTGGATGTGTGCTGAGGGAGCCTGGGGTGAGGTGGAGTCTTGCTGGACGTGCCGGACAGAGTTCTTGCTGGCAGCAGCCGGGGTGGCAGATACCACGGTGGTCAGATTCCAAGGATGGGGGCTTCGCCAAACTGACTCAACAGGATTCTTGCCCGAACTGGATTCTGAGAGGACAGAGAGGAAAGCCCAAGGTCAGGCCTCGTCAGGCAGGGGACTCAGAGGAGCTAAGAGTTTTGGGCAAAAGAGAGAGACTTTGTCAGCCTGAGACGGACATCTTGATCTCTTCAGCACACAGAGAGGGCACGGTGGAGTCGAAAGAGTCACCGAGGGTCCCTGGGGGACAACAAGAGAGACAAGGGCCAAGGCCCCGCCCTGGGGATGCCAACTGGGCGTGGGGGTTGGGCTGAGAAGGAGGGGCTCACTGTGGCTGAAAAGCTGCAAAGGACAGGCCGGAGACAGTGGTGTCACAGGGCAAGAGTGTTCCCAGACAGAGGGACTGGGGGTGGGGCGGGGGCTGAAGAGTGTTAATCGGATATGGCAACAGAGAGCCCCCGTGGCCCAGGCCAGAGCAGTGGCCGGGGCTCCATGGTGAGCGAGGCAGGCTCTGGTGGCTGAGCCGTGCAGGGGAGGCAGGGGTGTGGACGTAACCGCCTGGCTGCAGGTGGAGAGAGGGGCAGGAGCTCCAGGGCCAGAGAAGACCTTTGGTTTGTTTCCCCTCAGATGAAAGGGGTTTAATGCCGCAGGAAGTGGGCAGTAGGGAGGGGAGAAGTTACAGGCAGGTGGGTGGGAAGAGGTTTGTTGAGGGCACACAGCCCCACTGGGGAGGGGGATGTGCTGAGCTCTGGCACTTGTTCCTCTGAGAAGGGGGCAAGGTGGGAGGTGGAGGGACAGGGACATGTGCAGATGGTGAGGAAGAGGAGGGACTCGGGGGTGACGTCTGGACTCCCGACTTAGATTCTGTGTGGACGGCAATGCTCTCACTGGTGTTTGGGGAGGGTTTTGGGAGATGGGGGTGAAGCTGCCTTTGGGTGCACAGTCTGCCGTGGTGGCGTGGCCTGGGGCTGACCGATGGGGCTGGTGCTGGAGGTGTAGGCGCAGGGTCATTGGCATGAGGCGACCGTCAGAGCCTTGGCCTGGACAGAGTCATGCAGGGGTGTGTAGAACGAGGAGAGAAGATGGCTGAGGACGAGCCTTGGGCAGGAAGGGGCCCAGAAGGGAGGATCGGGTGCTGTGGGAGCCAGAGGGGGAGACGTTTGGGAGCCGGCACTGTGGAGGTGCGTACTGCTCAGCAAAGCAGTCGGACAGAGTAAAGGAATTTAGATTTAGACCAGCGAGGTTGTCAGTGACCTTGCCAGGTGCCGTTTACACAGAGTGGCAGGGGAGAAGGCTAAATTGGAGCAACTGGAGGTGCTGGAGCCCCACAAAGCAGAGCCGGCAAGTGCAGCTTGCACTGGTAGAAAACAAGCCGTTGTGGACTGTGTGTCTCATCACTCAGGAAGTTTCCTGCCAAAGGATGCTGGGAATTCCAAGAAATACACAGTCCGCACAGCCCCGCTTGTCCTCACGTGGCAGCGCACCTGGAGAGAGCTCTCCCCTACCCCCTTGTGCATGTCCCTGTCCAAGGCGGAAGCTCACAGGAATGTCCTTCTCTGTCCCTTAGGCCGCATCTTGGACCTGAAGACGGGGACGGTGAAGAAGGAAGGGCAGCAGTCTTCCATGAGGATGTGCATGGGCTCCCGGCGCTCCTTCATCTGCAGGATGAGGTCTGTCCGGGCGACTGTGGGGGCGGCACTGTGTGGCTTGCTCCCTGCCGTCCCCAGTAAGAGCCTTGCCTGCCTGCTGTGGTCACACGTGCCGACTCGGTTTCCCTCCAGTGATCTCATCTTCTTGACCTCGGCCTGTGAATATTCAGGCTCCATGGTCTGGGCAGGACTCCATCCTCTTCCTCCTGTCCCACAGTGTCTGCCTTCCCGCCCTTTTCTGCCCATCTGAGGTCTGTACTGGCTTGTCCACCGTCTATCTGGACTCTGCCTGTTCTCCAGGCCCTTCTCCAGCCCAGCCTCTTGAAAGTTACACAGTTCTCACCACGCTTTACATTAAGACCGACTGATTTTACACTTATTCTTACATTTCCTATGAAAACTCACACATTTTTAATTGGTCTCTAACTGTTGTGTTGCTGATTGATTTTTTTTTTTGAAACAGAGTCTCTCTCTGTACCCTAGGCTGGAGTGAATTGGCCTCAGCTTAGCTCTTTCTTAGCAACCTCAAACTCCAAGGCTCAAGTGAGCCTCCTGCCTTAGCCTCCAGAGTAGCTGGGACTACAGGCACACACCACGAAGCCCAGCTAATATTTTCTATTTTTAGTAGAACTGAGGTCTCACTTTTGCTCAGCCTGATCTCGAATTCCTGAGCTCAAGCAATCCTGCCATCTAGGCCGCCCAGAGTGCTGGGACTATAGGTTTGAGCCACTGCACCCAGCCGTTGATTGATATTTTGAGTGTCAATGTCTTGGCTGCATGAGTAAGTTATAACACCCCGAGGATGGGGGCTTTGATTTCCATCTCTGAGCCTCCCTGACATCTCGCACAGTGCTCTACATGTACTTGGTTTATACATCGCTGTTGAAGAAATGCAGGAGGGACTGAACTTTGGAGTCATCAGGGGAGGTTAGCTGTGTCCTCAAAGAAGAGAGAGCCAGGATCTTGGACCGTCTAATCCAGTTCAGCACCCTTGTGGTTTCAACCCTGTGGCCCAGAAGGACGGATGGCATTAGCTGCAAGGTGGGCCGTGCGGGGTAAGAGTAGAGTCGGTCTGGGCCGTGGAGTTCACGAGGCAATGGCAGGAGGTGACACCGCTGGCACATTCATGTGTTCAGTTACTCAGTTGCTCAACGAACTTGAGTCGAGGGCCCGCCGTGCAGGGTGCTGTTCAAGGTTCTGGGTGGTGGGTGCCAGGTCAGACAAGGTCCCTGCCCGCATAGAACTTCATTTCCGTGGGGGACACACGACAGACCAAAGCACTGTACGGGCTGTCGGGTGGGAGTAAGCGCCATGGAGGCAAAACAAAACAGCTGTGAGAGGGGTTGGAAGTAGCAGCTATCGCGGATGAAGGGAGGGGAAGGCCTCGCTGATAAGGTGACTTCTGAGCAGAGAAGGGAAGGAAGGAGGCGAATGAGGCCAGGGAGTGTCTGGGAACGTCCAGCACCAGTTGGGGGAAGAGCAGGTACGAGGCCCTGAGGCTGGAATGTCACTGGTGTGCTCGGGGGATGATGAGGGGTCGCTGTCTCCAAAGCAGGCTGAGTGGGTCCAGGTGGGGCGGGAGCACGCAGGGTGAAGATGGCCAGCAGGTGTTAGGTCATGCTGACTTTGCTAGACTTCCGCTTTCACTCTGAATGAGATGGGAGGTTGCTGGAGTTTGATTGTAAGAGTTATAGGTTCTGAACAACATTTTTAAAAAATTGCTCTGGTGTTTTGTGGAGAGTAAGCCTGCCAGGGAAGGAGGGTGGAGTGAGGAGGCTGTTGCAATAGTTCCGGTGGGACACATAGTGACAGCGGCCGTGGTGGAGGGTGCTCAGGCCTGAGCGCTCAGAGGTAGAGCCAGGCCTGGGGGGAAGAGAGAAGTCTGAGGTTTTGCCGGCGATTGGAGAAATGTAGTCACCATTTCCTGAGGGGGAGAGGCTGTGGGGGAGCTGGTTTGGAGTCAGGGGAATGTGAATACCGAGATGCCTATCTGATGACTACGCATGTAGACAGGTGGACGTGTCAGGTGGACGTGTCATTCTGGAATCCAAGGGAGGGGCTGGGGCTGGAGACAGGACTCGGGCACTGCCGATAGGATCGGTATCTAAGGCCTGGAGAGGAGGGACGTGCGAGCTCACCTGGGAGGAGGGTGTGAACGGAGGGTCAGAGTACTGGGCCCTCAGCACGCCTGCCTCGGGGAGGCGGGAAGGACTAGCAAGGGAGCCAAGGCAGGCGGGGGGGTGCAAGAGAGGGCGGGGGACGCTTCTGGAAGGCAGGAGGGGTCCACTGCCAGAAGCTGCTGCAGAGGCCTGGACGTGATGCCTGGGGACTGATCGCCAGATGCAGGGGGACAGCCGCCCTCCCGCCTCATCGTTTTCCGGGGACCGTGACTTGCTGCCCAGGTCTCTGTTGGTACCAGGAAGTTCCAGACAACAGATCCTTTGCAATAAGGACACATTTCCCTAATTCAGAGTAATCTTTTAAAGCAAGTGCACTTTGTTAGACAAAATCTTAGCCTAGAGGCTGGTTCATCCCCCGCAACCAGCGAGGCTGCCTGTGTTGAGGGAGACCGGGCTCTCCCACTCCAGCCGGGCCTCAGAGCCAGCACAAGCCTTTTGCTCCCTTTCACGAGAGATGGCCCTGCAGGGGTCTGAGCATAGCTGCTCTTTCCTCTGGGCGGCTCTCTCTGGGCTGGGCGTCTAGGATTCTTCCAGAAGGCATGGATGAAACCCCTTCCACCCCCTGCCTCAGGCTCAGGGTGGTGCTGAAGGCTGCACGGATGCAGGGTTGGGTTCCTCAGACTGCAGGCTGCACGGATGCAGGGTTGGGTTCCTCAGACTGCAGGCTGCACGGATGCAGGGTTGGGTTCCTCACACTGCAGGCTGCGGGTTGGGTTCCTCAGACTGCAGGCTGCACGGACAGAGGATTGGGTTCCTCAGACTGCAGGCTGCACGGATGCAGGGTTGGGTTCCTCACACTGCAGGCTGCACGGATGCAGGGTTGGGTTCCTCAGACTGCAGGCTGCACGGATGCAGGGTTGGGTTCCTCAGACTGCAGGCTGCACGGATGCATGGTTGGGTTCCTCAGACTGCAGGCTGCACAGTTGCAGGATTGGGTTCCTCAGACTGCAGGCTGCACGGACAGAGGATTGGGTTCCTCAGACTGCAGGCTGCACGGATGCAGGGTTGGGTTCCTCAGACTGCAGGCTGCACGGATGCAGGGTTGGGTTCCTCAGACTGCAGGTTGCACGGTTGCAGGATTGGGTTCCTCAGACTGCAGGCTGCATGGACAGAGGATTGGGTTCCTCAGACTGCAGGCTGTACGGATGGAGGATTGGGTCCCCCAGACTACCTATCCCCACCCTGCTCAGCGACAGGGCAAGCTGGCAGCAAGACCATCAGTTACATGTTCTGAGTGACATTTTTTCTTTTTTTTCTTCCTTTGCTTTTCTTTTTTTGAAAATAAGTTGCTCCAGTGCTGTGTGGAGAGTGACCTGCGGGGAAGAGCAGGGTGCAAGTTAGGAGGCTGTTGAAATAATTTTTTCACTCCTTTGGTATCACTGTCCATCCAGGGACAAAATGCCATCAGTTCACATAGTTGGTCCCAGCAGCTCTGTCCTGCAGTGTTTTGGTGGACACAGGAAGTGCCTGTCCTAGCTGGGTGGGGGTTTGGCAGAGCGCCAGCGGTATGAATTCTTAACTGCATCACCTAAGCAATCTCCTTAGGAATAAATCGATCGGAAGGTCGTCGTGTACCATTTTTACTAGTGGCTTGTAATGCCATTGTCACTGCCTCATCAACCGACTCCAGGCAGTCCCCCGCCCGTCCTGCAGTCCTTCCAGGGGCGCACTTGCTTCAGGTTGCTTTTAGAAGCGCCAGGCCCCTGCTGTCTGGATTATCTGAGAGGTGGGCACCACTGCCATCTGCTGAGAGCATCGCCTTCTCCCCCAAGTGAAGCAGCTTAGTTTCAGCAGGGCTGTGGGCACGGTCTGGCAGGAGAGGCAGCAGGCCATGCCCACGTCCCTGGGCAGCAGTGTCGTGGCTGATCCTGCTGTGAGAACCACACTAGTGCCGGCAGCTGTCCAAGGACTAGTACTTTTGCTGTATTGAAAATTAAGACATCAAGGTGTTACCTGCGATGCAGTTGGGAAACGGAGATATACCGAAAGTGTGGGTGCATGTATCACGCAGCGGTCAGTGCCGCCGTGGTGCCGGCTTGCGAGGCTCAGTGCCCGAGGGTCTGAGAGGCCCCTGAGAAGGGAGGCAGGAGAGTCCTCCCTGAATGTGCCGCGTGACGCCTCACATCTCCTGCCTCTCGAGAGGCGCCCGCAGCAAGACCTGATTCCAGACCTGTCATCCTGCCCCACCCTCTCCTCTGCCACCAGCGGGCCCGGCCTGGTTCTTCCTCTCGCCCGAACCGTGTGCGGGAAGCAGGGAGTTCCCACAGCTGTGATGCTAACACCAGAGAAGAGTGTTCTCTCTACTGTTCATCAACGGACAACATCTGTTTTGAGTTGATGTCGCTGCTCAGGCCAGAAGGGACACAGTTGCTGTCATCACCCACTTCTCTTGTTTCCCGAAAGCCACCCAGTTCCCCTGCAATGATCTGCAAGACGGAGCACAGCCAGAATTCTCCTTGAGCCTCCTGTAGGTCTCGGGCTTCTGGGCTGGGCCCTGTCCTGTTCTAGTGTGTATTTCCGTGTGTCGTACTTTCTTTTGGCAATCAAAATTCAGAGGCACGCAAGCCTGCTTCCTCACCATGGTGGGAAACTAGCTCTTGGTCACACCTGCACGAATGTGTGCACGTCAGTTAAGGCCCATCTACTTGACTGTAGCGCTGTATGTTTTATAAACTTGCCTGGTCTTCACTCTTTCTAACACATTTATCAAACCGTAGGTGTGGAAATGCTCCTTTGGACCACCTTCCTCTGAACAGGATAACCACCATGAGGAAGAGGTTCAGGTCAGTGCCCCTTTCTGGTGTGTGCGTGGGACCATGCCAGCAGACAGCCAGGGAACCCCACCCGGAGAATGCACTAAGTATAGGGAAGACCAAGGGACCCACACATTGGGTGGTGGTGGCTGAGGTGAAAATGGGGAGGAGGGGGGAATTTATTTGGGGCTTTCAGACCATGTGGGAGTAGGGAAAACAGGATGGTGGGACATCAGGATTCAAAACCACAGAGGCAAACCAGGGATCCTAGTGGCCGAGGTGCCAAAGGAGTCGCAGCATCCTTGCCTCACCCTTGAGTGACAAAAACAGCTTCACGAATGTTCCTTCTGTAGGAACGGTCTCGGCCCCGTGAAGGAGGGAGAAGCCCAGTATGCTGTCGTCCACTGCACAGGCTACATCAAGGCCTGGCCCCCTGCAGGTAGGCGGATTTGCACCTGTGTTCTGAGGCTGGGTGCTGCTGACAGTGGTATCCTGTTAGAGATGTAGTCTTATGGGAAGAGGCAGGAGAATATTCTTATTTTCTTTTATAGTTAGAACATAATGATCATTGTAATTGGAAACAGTCCTGCTACTTGAAACAAAGGTTTCTAAAAAGCTAGTTCTGCAAAGGTGATTTGAGCCTTAGCAACTCATTGCTAGGTTCTGTCACCAGACCACTCGGTGATAGTGGCAGTTTGAAATGATAGTTGTGCCCAAGTCATTAGAGCAACACAGTGAGTACCTCTTACACTCACTAGGTTGGTTAAAATAAAGGACAGGTAATAACCAGTGTTGGTGAGGATGCAGAGCAACCAGAGCCCTCATACATTGCTGTGCAAACTCTTAGCATATCAATTATATTTATTTTAAAGTATTTTTATTGTTTGCCCTAAGTTTGCAATTTACCTTTACAACTAATATAAATCTACATTCAAATAATATTTACCACTTCATGGGGAATACAGACACCTTACACTCTTACACTGTTGCTTACACTCTTACACTATTGCTGTCATTCATTTCACTTGTCCATATGCTATCACAGGCGTCCTCAAACTATGGCCTGTGGGCCACATGCAGGTGTTTTTGCCTGTTTTAATTCAAAATAAGATGTGTGCAGTGTGCATAGGAATTTGTTCATAGTTTTTTTTTTTTTTTGTTTGGCCCTTCAACAGTCTAGGGACAGTGAACTGGCCCCCTGTTTAAAAAGTTTCAGGACCCCTGCACTGTCATCACACAATGCACTGTTACTGTTATTACTTTGAACAAACAGATACCTATTAGATCACTCTTGCTTTCTTTTTCTCCAAAAAGTTTCTGAGTTTCTGACCTATGCCATATTCTTCTTCCTGAGGAACTTATTTTAATATTTCTTGCAGGGCAGCATTACTGGTGATGAATTCTTTGTTTTCATTTTTTGTGGAAAGTCTTTATTTCTTCTTCACATTTGAAGGCTTATTTCACTTGATATGGAATTCTAAATTTATTTATGCTACTTGGTATTCTGTGAACTTCTTAGATCTGTGGTTTGGCGTCTGTCATTAATTTTGGAAAATTCTTGGACATATTTCTTCAAATATTTCTTCTCCATTTTCTCTTTTATCATCTTTTGGTATTTCAAGTACACACATATTGTATCTTTTGAAATTGTACCAAAGTTTTTTATTGTTCTGGGTTTTTATTCATGTTTTCGTTGTTTTTCTCTTTGCATTTCAGTTTGTGAAATTTCAAATTGACATCTTCAATTTCATTGATCCTTTCCTTGACTGTGTTCAGTCTACTGATGAGTCTGTTAAAGGCATTCTTCATTTCTGTCACACTATTTTCAATTTCTTGTATTTCTTTTTGAGTCTTTCTTAGAGTTTCCATCTCTTTGCTTACATTATCCATTTGTTCTTACATATTGTCTTTTTTCATTAAAGCTTTTAACTTATTAATCACAGTTATTTTAAATTCACTGTCTAGCCATTTCAAAATCAATGTCGCATCTGAGTTCTGATGCTTATTTTGTCTCTTCAGACTATGTTTTTTCTTGCCTGTTAGTATGCCTTATAATTCTTTGTTGAAATCCAGACATGATGCATCAGGTGGTAGGGAATGAGGTAAATAGGCCTTTAGTGTGAGGTTTTGTATTAATCTTGCTAGGAGTTGGGCTCTGTTGAATGCTTGTTGTAGTTGTAGGTCCCAGAGGCTATAAATAACCCTTCATGTTCTTGATTTTCTCCCCTCCTACTTTTGGGTTTCCCAAAGAGCTCCTCATTAAATAGAGTCTATGCCTTGCCCCTCATCAGCTGTAACCCACAGTTACCATACAGTGATACCTGTTGGGGTGGTGATGGGAGTGGGGAGGGGCAGTGGCTGTGACCTTGTGATTAAATCTCAGTCTTTCAGCCAACCTGTGTCCTGGGCTGTGACCTTCACAAGTGTTTCCTGGCTTCTCCTCCCCTGGGCTGGGATTTGGTAACTGCTTGGGGAGTAGCGCTTTGTTCTCGAGAGTGCTCTGGACATATTTCAGAATGTGTATTTTTGCCCTCCCCCTACCAGAGATGAGGATGGGGGGATTGTTTTTGGGTTTTCACTGTGAGCACCTGGTGGAGCTCTTGGTACTCGTGAAGGTGTGGGGGCCCGTTTGTGTACACTTGGAAAAACACTGTTTAAAGATACATATAGTAAAGTTTAAAAATGTGGATTCATACATTCATTCGACACATACTTGTTGGACACCTGCAATATATGTGCTAATCACTCTTCCAGGTGCCGTAGATACAGTACGTATGTAAAATAGACACAAGTCTATACTCTGAAGATGAAAATAACCAATAAACAAGATGACTGGTCAAATACTCGGCATAATAGATAGCTCATGCTGAAGGCGTAAACCTGGGAGTCATCAGCATGCAGGTCGTTATTAAAGCCAAAACCTCTTTTTACCTCTGGGGAGAGAAGAAGCGAGCGGAATGGGGCCAGGAAGCCCTTCACCTACATTGGGAATTTTTTATTTCTTTAAGATAAAAATTACATAGAGTAAATGTAGCAGAATGTTAACATGTTTTAAATCTGTATATTTAAGAAGTTATAGTTATATGTGATGACTAAGTCACAAAGATCTGTTGGACAATGTAGTGCCTATAGTTAAAATAAGTTATTGTGAATGTAAAAATTTGTTAAGAGAGTAGAGCTCATGTTAAGTTTTCCTACCACCAAGAAAAAGATGAAACAGAAAACATCCACCACCAACAAAGGGAGTCATGGATGTGTTTATCACCTTGATTGTAGGGATGATAACGTTAGGGTATACATATGTCCAGATTTACCAAACTGTATACATTCATTATCTACAGTTTTTGTATACACTTATACCTAAAAGAAAGCTGGAAAAAAATCTGTGTTTGGATACAAGATGTTTGTTATATTATTATCTATAGATTTTTGTGTTAGAACATAAAAATTAAAAATCAGATTATAAAAAATTATGGCACACAAAATATTCTGGCCACAATATCCAACAAATTTACTGCTTAGTGAAGGCCTATAACATATATTTTGATAATATGAAAGCAAGTACCAATAGTATATTTCAGTGACTACTCCAATAAGTCATGATACTAAATAAATTTGAATCAATTTACAAACATTACACACAGAGGAAGCAGCTATAGTAATAATAATTGTTACAAATCAAGCTATAAAATACACACTTTTATTAAATTCTTACACAGGCCACTGCAGTTCATGAAAACAAATATTTGAATAAAAAGGGACACAAGTATATAGAAAATAATACATTGAAGAAATACCAGTGCCATCTTAATGTTTAGAGTAAATAAAATATTTCATAGAATCTTGCCAATTGGAAAGCAAATGAAAAAAACAATGAATTCTAAGATAAACCAGCTTGAATTTAATATATAACATTGCCTATGTTGGACAATGGGTTATGTTAGTGTCGGGTTATTTATGGTAATGACAGATTGAGTCTGATGTTGGAAAACGATCTAAGCCTCATCTCCAACCAGCTCACGCACCTGCCACGTACCTTCTTCCTTGGCTGCGATACGTAACGTTGCCATGCTCTGTCACAGAGAGCTCAGCCTCGCTGTCCTCATAGACTGTGCCCCGACCTGGCTTGCAAGGCCTTCCCTCCACAATACGGGTGATTTGGAAGCAAAAGGATTTCTAGATACTGTTTAAAATGTTTTAAAAATGAGTTTTCTATGTCCACAAATACAGTAGGCACATTAATGCAGTTCTTAAATGTACCTGATAATAGTAATAAGCACTGAATGCTTACTGCGTGTCAGACATAATTATAAATATTCTAGGTACATTAACTCATTCAGTGATCACAGCAGCCCTATGGAGTAGGTGCTATTATTATTTTTATGTGATAAACAAGCAAACTAAGGCACAGAGACAAAACCTGCCTAGACTCACACAGGGAGTGAATACAGAGTGGAGGCAGAATGTGGACCTGGTCATTCTGCTTCTAAGGTTTGTGCCATTACATATGTATGTGTACACACACACTCACACACGCACACACAGGCATGCATTGCCTACAAAGGGGATACCTTCTGAGATGTGTTGTTAGGAGGTTTTGTCATTGTGTGAGCATCGTAGAATGTTCTTACACAGATGTGGAAGGTGCAACCCACTACACACCTACACTACACAGTATGGTCTCTTGCTCCTGGGCTACAAGCATGTAGAGCATGGTCCTGCACTGAACACTAAGTAACTGTCACACATGCTAAGTATTTGTGTTTCTAAATGTAGAAAAGGTAAACTAAAAGTATGGTATTATAATCTATGGGACCACTGTTGTATATGCAGTTCATCATTGGCCAGAGTATCATCGTGTGAGGCATGACTATACATATGTCAGTTTGACATATATATGTATACACTGAAAAAAATTTTTCCTACTTAGACCATAATGCATAAAATTGTCAGGATGTTGTTTTCCATGGGCCTCTAGCTGGACGCAGGGACAGGGACTCACAGGGCAGTGCTGCTGCCACAGTGTTCCGAGTTTGGACCTCAGCTCTGTACATCCAGGAACAGTCTTGCCGATGCTCTGGAATTGCCCAGCCCAGGGAATGTGAGAGAGTTCTCGGAAGCTAATTATATAACCAGGTGCCGTTCAGCATTGCCAAGTGGTTCCTTGGCAGTGCCATGGGTGCTCCTGTCTGCTGTCCAGGAGCCTCTCAGGTTTTGAAATACTTGAGAAACCAGATTTGCATGAGAAGGTTGTCTGAGGAGAGGAAAATAAGGGCAGCGGGCTGTGGGCCGCTGGGAGGGAGACTTCCCACAGGGGCTTAGTTCTCCAAGCACGTGTGGTGGCAGCTCTCGAGCAAGCAGTCCTCGAGCCAGCCCTCGGGTAACTGACACAGGCTGTCCCCCAGGGAGTGCACAGGTGACTGCAAGAGAGTGTGCTCA